TTCTCTCCACCTTTAAACACAGGAGTTTCTCTACTCACTGCTAATCACACTGCCGGCCCTTCCCCGCAGCCTTGCACATATTTCTCTGATGATATCAAATCCGAGCTGCCGTGACTGATAAGAAGCTTTCGTTTTCATAGGACTCGGGCGCTCCAGGTGCTTTTCCAGCCCGGGATAAATCAGGCAGCCTCGCCATGTGTCATCCGTACACGCTCTATTTAGGATGAGGGTCTGTGAGGGAGCCTCCTTGGGGTCTACTGGGGATCCTGCCCCCTGTGTGGGTTACGGCCCCTCCTCGGGCCTCTCCCTGGCTTCTCTCTGACCCAGCTCCAATGCCGATGTCATCGTCTCTCTATTCATCTGTCTCTCCCACTGGACTGTCTGTCTTGTTCACTGTGTTTCTTAACAGCTGACACTGGCAGCTGATCTTTCTGGACTAGTCAGCAAATCCCCCTGCTTTTGTTGGAACCCCGCCTCCTGAGCAGTGCACGGCTTTGGCAAACTCAGCCATCTGAGGGGAAAGGGACCCAGAGAGCAAGTTTGGGCATTGAGTGTGGGAGTTGGAGGAAGAGCTGCACATGAGGGTGTGTGATTGGGAGAGTAAGGAGTGGAAGGCTGGGGAAAGTACACACAGAAGTCTTCCAGAAGAGGTCAGTGGATCCATCTGTCTGTCTGCCCATCCGTTGGTCCATCCAACCATCCATTCATCCATCTATCTGTCTACAACTATGTGTAAGCACCTGCTAAATGGAAGACCCTAGTGATATAGTGAGCAAAACAAAGTTCCTGTCTTTGGGGAGATGGCTTTTTACTGTGGACATAACAAAACTCAGATAAAGTGGTGCACACGTTCTGCGTTGGGCTCTCTACTGTAAGTGCGTCATGATGAACCCCGAGCCGGGCATGGCGTGCTTTCAGGCAGGGCCTACAGGGAAGGCGTCTGAGGAAGTTATGCTTCCTACATGCAGTCAGGGAGGAAGCCATGTGAATACCTGGGGACGCCATGCCAGGCAAGGAAAAGAGAGGCGCAAAGGCCCTGAGGCACGAATAGGCCAGCACTTTAGAGCAACAGGAAGTGAGGTGTGAACAGAAGTCAGCAACAGATGCTGACAGCTTAGAGCTGACTCTCCTAGTGTTTCTACACAGTTCCTAAGCTGACATTTATTAAGAGCTTACACTGTATCAGACTGTTTAAGGGCTTCACATACATTAACTCATTTCTTTCTTACAAAAAACACGAGATAGGTATTCTTATCTCTGTTTCATACAAGAAGCAAAGGAGGCCCAGAGGGGTCGAACAGCGTGCCCAAGCACACAGCCAGTAAGCGCTGGAGCCAGACTCGCACTCCAGGCCCACTCCCAACTCCTACGCTGTCCCTGATCAGAGCCTCAACTTTAGTTAAGAGTCCCGATAGCCCCACCAGCCCCTCGCTGGCTCCTGCAAGGAGCAGCCAGCGCTCATTCATTCACTCCACACAGTGGAGGTGTTGGCTAGCCTCCGCGATGTACACGCAGGGTGCTGGGTGCACAGGAGCCCGCAGGAAGGACAGTCTAGGTGGGAAGGACGGGAAGTGAGGAGGCAGTGCCTGGGTGGTCAGAGCCACCAAGGAGAGAAGCGCAGGATGGTGACGGGACACACGGAGGACCACGTGTCCATGCTCCGGCAGCTCAGGGGTTGCAGAAGCCTTCCTGGAGAAAGGTGACCCTGAGCCAGGCCATCCCATGCCCCAGGGGACAGGCCATGTAAAGCCTCTCCCATCTCTCTCAGGCTGAGGACCTGGACCTGCAAACCCTGCTGCTCACACGCCCCATCAGTACATACCCCTTGCCCACAAATCCCCTTGTAACTGGTCGCTAACCATTATTATTCTCTTTCTCAAAACATGCCTCCTGTCCTCCCACCCTCACCCCCATCGCCACCCCTGCTGGGATCTCTAGTGTTATTTTGTTTGTTTGTTTGTTTGTTTTTAAATATATTTTATTGATTTTTTACAGAGAGGAAGGGAGAGGGATAGAGATTTAGAAACATCGATGAGAGAGAAACATCAATCAGCCACCTCCTGCACACTCCCCACTGGGGATGTGCCCGCAACCAAGGTACATGCCATGCCCTTGACTGGAATCGAACCTGGGACCCTTCAGTCCACAGGCCGACACTCTATCCACTGAGCCAAACTGGTCAGGGCAGATCTCAAGTGCTGAGCAGCTAAACAGGGCCCCTCTCCCCAAAACAGAGCGATTCTGAAGAACTGCGGAAGATTTGACGCATGCATGTCAGCTTTTCCTCACTGATGGGAAAGGATTTTGGATGCCACAGCACCTTTTGCACCCCCCTGGAGTCCCAGCGCCAGGGCAGCTGTGGCAGGGAGATGAGGGGATGGGGCCAGGCCGTGCCTACTCATCCAGCTGGTCCCGGAGGGAGACAGGCAGGCAGGAAGGAACCTCAGGCCCTGGAAGCACAGGAAAGGGAAAGCCAACGGCGGGTCCAGAGAACCCCCTCAGCCTGGCCAGCCCCGGAGCTTTCCCTGCCAACAGTAAATCCTGGGGTGCTGCAGCCCACAAACTTTGGCCCTTATTTTCTTCCTCAGAGAGGAGGGGGAGGGGGAGAGAGAAAGCAAGGAAGTAGGTAGCTCTGGGAAGATTGTTAGGATTGCAAAGTCAAAAGGACTTGTTTCTGCTGTCTGCCCAGAGATCGAGCCAGGTCCCAGGAGGCTGCATTTGTGGTTCCCGTAAAAGAAGCGATGTTGACATGGAGTTCTTGGATTGGCCTTATTTCACAAAAAACAAGCTGCCAAACCGAATGGGAAATGGAGTTCAGCGGAGAAGTATGTGCTGACTCCCCGCCCCCCCCAAACTTGGCGTCGAGTGCCAGTCAGCACACCACTTAGGCTCTCTAACCAAAGTTCCGGCATCAGGGGACTTTGCTGGCAGGTCCCCGAGTTCACAGGACATGCAGTTTTTGCTCCTGACGGGCTATTTCTCAACAGGGTCGGCCTGTGCCCAAGGCCTGTCACTTGTCAAGCTTCCTGCTCTTTAGTGGGGAGAAAAGCACTGAGCAGAGCGGTGATTGGAACCAGACCAGCTGTCCTAAGAAGGTGTCCCAGAGTCGGAGATCTCTAAGGAAGCTTCAGGCCTCTAGTTCCTCCTTCCCGCGCCCCAGCGCAGGGTATCTGCCACTCTTCACAGCCTCATGCATGCCTAAAAGCCAGGCCAAGTTTCTATGCATCAGCCATTGAAGATGAAAGACGAAGTCCATTCCCACTTTACCACCCACCAGCTCTGTGACCTGGGACAACTTGCTTAACCTCTCTGTGTCTTCAGTTGCCGAATGTGTCTTCAGCTGTCAAACTTTATATTATGAGTTTCCTGTGAGGAATAAATAAAAACATGCATGTAAAATGCCAAGGCACAGTGCTCAGACACATAAGCGCTCAATAAATTGTAGTAGTTATTATTTTTATTATTAATATCAGTCAATGTATGTTCTTTTTTAAAAAAATATATTTTTATTGATTTCAGAGAGGAAGGGAGAGGGAGATAGAAACATCAATGATGAGAGAGAATCATTGATTGGCTGCCTTCTGCACACCCCACACTGGGGATCGAGCCTGCAACCCGGGCACATGCCCTGACCAGGAATTGAACTGTGACCTCCTGGTTCATAGGTCGATGCTCAACTACTGAGCCACGCTGGCTGGGCTCAATGTATGTTTTTAGTTCAAATTCTTTTGAATAGAAAAAGCTAAAATAAGAACTAAAATCCACTCTAGCTCTAGAAAAAGGCAGTGATGGGAGAAGTAAGGTGGTGAATGCAAATTATAAGGATGCAAATTACCTCATGGCATATGGGGCAGGAGGTATGGGCAGTTGAACTTCAGTGACTTGGAATCAGGCATTGAACCCTGAAGCTAAGACTCCTGACTCTCTCCCCCAGCGGGTCTTGAGTATCTAATGTTATCCAAATAAAAGAATTCGAATTTAAACAAGGTAACTTAAATCAATCAGTTGATTAAGTTATTTAAATAGAATTAAATGGTCACATGTGGCTACTGCATTATACAGCATGGTTCTAGACTTTGCTTCTCTCTCTCTTTGTCTCTGTCTCTCTGTCTTTCTCTTTTGCTCTCTCTCCCACCCCCGCCCCATCCTCTGCACCCTCCACACATGGCCCACCACAGTTACTAGCTCCACTTTGCCTCGCCTCCTTGCCCAGGGCCCACTTTAGACTATCAGCCTCTGCTTCTAGTTCCAAATCTCAGGGGAGAAATTTGACTGCACTCATCTTTTCATGCTGAGTTGCAACGTAAAGGCCATTCCATGTAGGAAACCCTTTGGGTCGGGGTTCATCCTGGACCATCAGGCCATGGCATCTTATATTTGTTCAACAGGCTGGGTGGGGGTTCCCCAGAAGGCGCTGCGGGGGCCAGGCGGCTCTGGCACTCTGAGCCTTTTATGCGAGCGTAGCAGTGATCGGTGGTGGGTGCCCATGTCTCCGCCTGGCCCAGGAACCGAGGAGCTAGGACAGGAAGTATGACCACACCTTTCCCGGGCTTCTGGGTGATTCAGGCCGTTTGGGATGAAAGCCCTAAGGGCCTGCGTCAAGGAGTGAATCCGGGAGGAAGCATATAAAGTGTGATGTGCCCTTCTGATCCACATCCAACCTCATGCAACAAACACTGAACACTTGAAAATAACTAGGTTTGGAAAAGGGTGTTTTAATTTCCTTCAGATTCCTGAAAGGACAGAGACGCGGCTGAACACTGGCGACAGAGAGCCATGGCCAGTGGGGACTCTGAGTCGTTGGGAACTCTTGGCTTTGCCCCATTAATTGGGCTTGACAGGCCTTCTCGGTCAAGCAACTGACCATGGCCGGCCAACAGCTGCTCCGTCTGGCCTTTGTTTTTAGGCCTTTTAATTGATTTGTCCGATTCTTTGAAGACATGGAATCAATGGGTTGTTTAACTTATTAATCAAACATCAAATGTTATTAAAGGGACAGCTGCAAGCCCCATACTGTGGCGGGCTTTGTGGAAAGTATACAAATAGGACCCTCATTGACATCTGGGCGTATTAACTCCTACCTCTCAGGGTTGTCACGAGGAAGTGGAGACTGCAAAGAAAGACAGCACAGGTGGGGTTAGAGCGGGAAGGAGCTGTGTTCTTCATCCCGGCTTCCTGCCGGCTCCCCTGGCCCAGATCTGCCCTCCAGGCAGCAGCCAGAGACGCTGGTCATGTCAACAAGCACCGCGGTGACTCTGCTGCTGAAGCCTCTGATGACTTCCCATGGTGCTTAGGGTAAAATCCGAGCTCTGACCTGCAAGACGCCCTGCTCTGGCTGCCACCCCCTTCCCTGAGCCCCTCTCCTGTGGCTCTCTGTGCACCCCACTCCGGCCACACAGGCTTCTCACCACCTCCACACTCAGCTCAGCCTCACCTTTTGGCCTTTGCACCGGCAGGTCCCTCCCTCCGAGCATGTTCTTCTCCTGGAGATTTTTGCATGGCCGGCTCTGGTTATTCACAACACACCCTCAGATAGGCTTTCTGGGTCATCCAGTTTAAAGTGTCTCCCTGTCACTCTCGATCGTACTCGCTTTGTTTTCATTGTAGTATTTATCATTCGCTTTAGGTGGTGGTTCGTCTTCGCCAATCAGAATAGCCCGTCCAGTAAAAGAAGTCCTTCACGTGGGACTTTGCCTTCTTCATCTTTTGAATTCGCAGCTCCTAGGCCCGTCCCGGCACAGCTACTGGGTCCTCAGCTGCTGTTGGTGAGTAAGTGGCTGACTTAGAGGACACACTCAGGGTACAGAGGAGCAGTTCTGCAAAGATCCAGGGTTGAGTCTAATTGTATGATGTAGATTTAAATTTTAAGAAGAGAAAACTAAGGAAGTAAGCCTCTAGTTTGTGGAGTGAGGGTTTTGGATCTTTCTGGGCCTCAGTTTCCTCTGCTGTACATGGCGATTACCCCATCACCAACCGAAAGTAACCATTCAGAAGTGGGCTTGGTCCATTTGTTAAAAATGCTCGAAAACCCAGATGGAGCATGAATCCACGGCAGCCTCCGCCATGATCTTGAGTATCTAGCTGCGCCCTGACCTGCAGCATTTGGATGTTTCTCAGGCTCCTCCACTGAGCATGCTCCACTGAGCATGTCTGGACTGAGGTCAGCATCTTCCAGGTTCTTCCTCAAACCCTCTCTTCCTCCCCTGCCCTGCCTTCATGGCTGGCCCGGTCCTCCTTCCAGGCTCATAGCCAGAACCCTGGGCCTAACTCTCAACTCTCTTCTCCCTCTGCCTTCATGTTGAATCAGCTGATCCCACCTCCTGTCATTTAAGTCTGCTCAAATCTGTCATCTTGTCTCCATCCCCACTGCCCCTGCCATAGTCCAGGCCCCTTTTATATTAATTTCAGAAAGGGAGGGAGAGGGAGAGAGAGATAGAAACATCAATGATGGGAGAGAAGCATTGATTGGCTGACTCCTGCACGCTCCCCACTGGGGATCGAGCCTACAACCTGGGCATGTGCCCTTGACCAGAATTGAACCTGGGACCCTTTAGTCCAAAAGTTGACACTCTATCCACTGAGCCAAATCGGCTAGGGCCCCCTTTTGTTTCTTGCTCAGATTACTGAGACTGCCTCCTCACAGGTCTCCTTGACTCCATTCTTTCTGATCTCCAATCATTCTCCACACCACAAATACCATCAGTTAAAAATCATCTTTCCTTTAGTCGTTCCCCATTGCCCTGGAATGAAAATCCGAACTCCTTACTGTGGTCTGCGAGGCCTTTACATCGCTCACTTCACTGGCCTCACTTCTGCAACTTCCTTCTCCCTCTCCCTCAACTTCTTTCTGTCCCCCAGCCCTGTGTCTGCATCTTCAGTGCTGGTGTCTCTGCCCAGCCCTGTGTCTGCATCTTCAGTGCTGGTGTCTATGCTGTTCTCTGTGCCCAGAACATCCAGCCTTCGCTTTGCCTGGGTGCCCAATGGTGCCTTCAGCCTTGCATATGTGTCGGGACTTCAGTGCCTCAGGTTGGAGACAGGTGTCCCTCCTTAGCACACCATGATAATTGTTACTATTAGAACTACTACTTCAGCATATTAATGAGATTAAGAGGGGCATTAGAATATTATATGGTGGCTTGGGGCTCAAACAAGATAGAAGTGTATTTCTTTTTTTTGTTAATCCTCACCCGAGGATATTTTTCCATTGCTTCTTAGAGAGCGTGGAAGGGACAGGGAGAGACAGAGAGAAAGAAACATCAATGTGAGAGAGACACATCCACTGGTTGACTTCCACATGCGCCCTGACTGGGGCTGGGGATCGAGCCTGAAACCAAGATACATGCCCTTGACCAGAATCAAACCCATGATCCTTCAGTCCAAGGACGGACACTCTATCCACTGAGCCAAACCGGCCCAGAAGTATATTTCTTTCTCATTGAATAAACTAGAAGTTGGGGGATAGGCAGCAGGTCACATCTCCTGCTGTCTTGTTGCTTCACCATCCTCAGGAGTGGCTCCTGTTGGCATGGTCCCAGATGGCTCACTACCACATCTGACAACCCATCCATCCAGCGAGGATGGTGATTCCTATGGACTGAATGTTTGTAAATCCCCCCCAGCCCCCCCTCCCTGCTCAAATTCATATGTTGAAACTCTAGTCCCCAATGTGGTAGTTGTTGGAGATGAGGCCTTTGGGAGGTAATTAGATCATGAGAGAAGAGTCCTCATGATAAGATTAGTGCCCTTATAAGAAGAGACACAAGAGAGCTTCCTTTATTTCTCTCCCTCCATCTCCCTTCTTTCCTCCTTCCTCCTCCCCCATCCCTCTCCTCCCCTTCCCTCAACCTCCCTCCTACACACACACACACACACACACACACACACACACACACACACACACACACACCTGCTACGTAACCAGACAATGAGAAGATGGCTTGCTGGCTATAAACCGGGACGAGAGCCTTCACCAAGAACCAGACCAAACCCTGGTCCCTTACTTCCAGGCTCCAGAGCTGTGGGAAAGATGTGTTGAAGCGATCCAGTCGACAGTATTCTCTTCCAGCAGCCAGAGATGACTAAGGCAGTGGTAGAAGGGGAAGCAGAGAGAGGAAGCCCCGCCCCGCTGGAGATCATTATACACTTACAACAGAGGGTGGGGAGCAGAGGGCCACGTGCCAGATTTACAGAGCTCTCTGCTGAGAATGTGCTTTTTCTCGTCTGACCCAGTCAACACCCTTGGGGGTGGGGGGTGTGGGGGGGGGACTCCCATTTTTAAGCAAATGATGTTTTTACCAACAAGTCAACTTCGCAAATCTGAGACATAATATGAAGGCCAGCCAGCCTGGCCCACCATGTGATGGCAGCTCTTTCCCAGAAAAATCTTCATGTGATGTGCACATGGCTTTTGTGTTTGGTCACAAACACAGCCGGGAATGTCAGCACTCCCTGTTCTTGTGTCGCTATTATTTTAAGTTTAGATTTATGATGATCAAAGTGATATGTGCATGGAGAGTCAGAAAGTACTGCGTGCTTTGACACAAAGGATGCTAGTTACCTCCCTGCTCCCCACTCTTTCCCCAACCCCACGCGATGCAATTTCCCAAGGTCCAGACTTGTAACCCCTTGTAACATGTGAGCAGACTTTTTGTTACTCACTTGCATATCTCCCCATAACATGCTTATCCTGCTACTTTGAGATTTCTCGGTTTTAGGCATTATCTATTGGCTGCCCACCATTAGAACATGAGGATTTAGCGTTGCCATCGACTCACCACCCCACCTACAACACTCTTACAGACACATTTCCCCTGTTCTCCCATCTATGCCCCATCAGTATTTTCACAGCTGTGCCATCTAGCATTATTTTCCTGCATAATTATTTTTTATTTCCCCTGGAATTATCTTCTTATGTTTTAAGCGTGCTTGATTTTCTGTGTACTTATCTCTCATTCAACCTCAAACCTGTCTGCGTTGCATAAAATGTTTTCTAAATATTTTCAAACACATTTGGCATGTTATCAATTTCATCTTTTCAGAGCAACCTCTTTGGGGCCTTCCCACTGGCTCTGACCTGGACAGGTGGCATCTGGGCCTGGTGTCCAGCTGTCGTCGCGGGACCCGTCCCCGTCAGCCTGGGCCTTCCTTGCACCTCTCTCTCTCAGGCTGGAACTTCTTACTTCTGGGCCACATGTTTTCCTCTTTCTTAGGCCGCTCTTCATTCTGGAGCGTGGGAAAGAGGACATGGGAGGAGGATTTTTGTTTGTTTTGATCATATGTGCACCGTTTAAACTCCCATCTTCAACAGGGATTCTTAGTTTCATGTCAGAGATGATGCAATTGAAGTTCAGGAATATTAAGCAACTTGGAAGCTGTCGTTTCTCCATCAGAGCACCCGTCACACTGTTTTCTTATCTATTTTCCCTTCTGAGTTATAAGCTGCCTTAGGAGAAGGGCCAAATCCATCTTGTTCCCTTTTGTATGTCCAGTGGCAGGTCCATCCTAGGCATTCAACTATCGTTTTTGTTTTTAATATATTTTTATTGATTTCAGAGAGCAAGGGAGGGAGGGAGAGAGAGAGAGAGAGAGAGAGAGAGAGAGAGAGAGAGAGAGATGATGAAGAAAGAATCATTGATCACTGCCTCTGGCACGCCCCCCCCCCCCCCCCCCCCCCCGGGGACCGAGCCTGCAATCCTGGCATGTGCCCTGAGCAGGACTTGAACTGAGACCTTCTGGTTCATAGGTTGATGCTCAATCACTGAGCCACACTGGCAGACCCACTAATGTTTCTTAAGTGAATTGCTGGGTCTGACTTGGGAGGGCATCATTTCTTTCATCTCAGCAATATGCATTGTGCTTCTAACTCCTCAAACCCAAATAATCTGCCCTTGTTGTAATTGTGCCCCCTCCCCCTTGCTCCTTTGAGCTTGTTGTCATCTCAGGAGAAAGATAGACATCTTGTCTGCATCTGAAAGAGCTGGAAATATTTCCAGGAGAAGGTCTTGCCCATGCTTCATTCCTGAATCAGGGAACATTCTTCCAAAGTTTATTTGCACGAGATATACAATAGTGTAATCTCAAAATATGTTTTTCCTAAAAGAAAGGCTTACTCAAGCAGAGGCAATGCTATAGTTATGCCATTTTTTTTTTCCTGTTTTTAGGATACCTCATGGAAACTTGATAGAACAAAGGAATTATTTTTGTTAGGCTAACTCTGTGTGTCGGGCACTGTATGCTTGCTGCCCAGTAAGTCCGAAGATCTCAACTTGGGGAAAAAATAACATTCTCTGATTAATGTTAAAAACAACCTGAAACAGATCCCTCCAGCTGGGTGACTGCATTATGTAAAAACGTAATGTAACAAACACGGCCCCAGTGCCCTCCCCACCACCCAAACCTACCGCAGCTAAAAATAGCCCTGGGTCTTTCTCTGCGGCTCCAAAACAGGAACACCGTAACCTGTTTGCCTTGTTGGAGGTGCTGCACAGGGATCCGGCCCTTCTCCCGTCCTGGCTCTCACATGTGTAAGCACATTCTCATCAGCCAATTACAGATCCCACAGGCCCAACAAGAGGTGGTGAATTCTGCAGAAACATGGCTGCCCGGGGCCCCTAACCAGTGCATTTCTCTCCCTTGGCTCGGGTGAGAATAGCCACCCTAACCACCCACCACACAGAGGAGGCTGCTGTACCATTTGCCAGGCAAGACAGGTACTCTATGCGTATTAACCCTTTTAATCCTTCCCATCCATGGGGATAAGTCATATTATTATCGCCACTTTATAGACAAAAGGACTGAGGCCTCAGGAGATAAAGAAACTTGCCTGCTCACCCAAGATGGTATAGGAGTCATGTCTACACCCAGCTGGGTTTGGCTAATGAGCATCATACCAGGTGGCCTCATCGTGCTCCCATAATGCCACAGCCACTCAGAAGTAGAGGGAGATGAAGGACTGCCTTCCCTCTGCAGCCTAACTCTAATTGCTATTGGCCCGTGAAGATAAAGGCAGAAACTATAGCCTCTCGGAGTTGGGAGGGCCTCTGAGGATCGCCCATCCTTGAGGATCTTCTCTTCCACAGCAGATCTGACTCGTTCTCATCCAACTCTGGGGAAATCACAGGCTTTGGAGTTTGCCAGTTTTCATGTCTTAACTCTCCCCCTTCACGAATTGTGTAACTTTAGACAACACTGGTATGATAACGACGAATAGGTAATGAGTGTACTCCATGCGTCGGGCACTGGCTGAAGGATTCTAGGTGCACTATCTCCTGCGGCCCTTATCACGAACACTGAAGCATGTCTGTCATTTTATGGCCGAGGGCCCTGGAGCTGGAGGAGGTGGAATAGGGGTTCTGGGTGAGTGTGATGGTCAAAAGCACAAGCTATGGAATTAAACATTCCTGATTTAGGTCTTGCTTCCAATTCTGTGACCCTGGGCCAGCTACTTAACCTCTCTGAACCTGTTTCTCCATAAGCAAACGGGGTGTATAATGACAGGTACCCTGCATGGTTGTTGTGAGGTTCAGACAGCCCTTTGTGATAGGTTCTATGTAATAGTTCCTTGACTTGTTTTAAAAAATATATTTTATTAATTTTTTACAGAGAGGAAGGGAGAGGGATAGAGAGTTGGAAACATCGATGAGTGAGAAACATTGATCAGCTGCCTCCTGCACACCCCCTACTGGGGATGTGCCCTCAACCAAGGTACATACCCTTGACCGGAATCGAACCCGGGACTCTTCAGTCTGCAGGCCGATGCTCTAGCCACTGAGCCAAACCGGTCAGGGCAGGTCCTTGACTTTTATGCCTTTCCAGAAAACCCAATACATTCTTAGCCCTAATTATTTGAAATGCATTTTTATATTTTATCTGAAAAATTGTTCTCTTAATTACTCACGCTTCCTCTCACAGTACACCTAGCTACAGGGACAGATTCCAGACGTTGGAATGTGGAACACAGTTTATAGTCCATTCGTTCATTCATTAAGTAAGCTTTTGAGTACTAGGTACTCTTCTAGGCTAGTGAACAGGAAAAATATAGATTATAATCTAGAGTGTGTATGTAGTGGAGGTGGGGGAGGGAGGTAGACAGACACTAAGTAAACAAATAAATATAAAAATGACGAACAAATAAATATAAAAATTCTTTGCCAGCTATGAAGAATACATAATAAGATAGTGTGATGGCAAATGCATGTGTGTGATGGTGATGGTGGTGGGGTGATTGCTTAGGTTGGAGGACAAGGAAACACCTCTCTCTGAGGTTGCCACACTGCAGCTCGGTTTAAAATGGTACTCGAGTTGTGAGCTTGAACCACCAAGTGGGAGAATAAATATAGAAAAGAGCTCCAATATTTAAAGTCAAGGAGGAGAGAGCCAGCCAACAAAATGAAGACTTTGGTGTCACAGAAACAAGAGGGAAAAAGAAAGTCCTTCAGGAAGGAGGGTCTGGCAAACTGTGCGATATTCCTGCAAAGTTCCAGCAGGAACAGCAAAGCAACCATTGGGTCCAGTCGTCCGGAGGTCACGGCCACTGTGCCAAGAGCCATCTCCCTGAGTCATCTCAGAGGGAGGGGAGACAGAGCTCAGAGGGAGTGAGTGGAAAAGAGAATAGGAGTTAGTGGAGGGCAGATGGCAACTATAGATAACCACTTCTAAGAGGTTTTGCAGTAAAATAGGGTAGAGCTTCAGACCCATATCGGGAGGGGAATGTGGGGCTAAGAAAAGTTTGTTTAGTTTTGCTTTTCTGTTTGAGAACCTTGACACTCTGAGGAGGAGGAGGGAGGGCAAATAGAGTGATCCAGTAGGAAGGAAGGAATTAATGCAGGAAAGAAAAGAGATACTTAGAGAAGTGCTGCCCAAGATAAGGCAAGAGGGGACTCTATCTGGGCATACTGAGATGGGAGCAGGGAGGTGCCCCCCGGTGAAACTGGGGGAAGGCTCAGGATATGGCACAAGTTATGGTGGAAGTTTCATCAGAGAGATGTGGCAGTTTCTATGGGTTGTGTCTCTGTCAGCTAAGAGTGAGGGGAGGAGCAAGGTGGGAAGTTCGAGGAGAGAGAGGTGAGCAGTAGTTTTGGAGCGAGTGGGAAGTGGAG